TTTATATTAACTAGCTGCGGCGTACCGTGCGCGCTGGCTTAAATCGTTGCTACTAATTCATAGTATAATAATGGGACAGAATAGGACCATTGGGTATAAAATCGACAATAACATTGCAGACAATATTAATATTTAGAAATGGAGTGTAATAAGATAATAAGCACTGGGAAAAAACGAAAACAACTGTTAGTATGCATTTATATGACAGCACACAGCCGACTTAGAACCCCTGGGACATAATTAGTAATATGGCTGTAAATAGAATCAAAAAAGTTATTATAGAGCATTGTAGGAATGCGGCTGACTCTTCATTTTGAACACTCTTGATAAAGAAGTTGTTTTTCGTCTTATTCTCCTGTGTGAAATATGTAGAGATAGCTGGGTCTCCAGCTCTGTTGAGCTGCCACGTACAGCTGTCATTGGTCAGATCGTACCATGAGATAAAAGGAATATAGTTATCAGGAGCTAATAATGACAATTTGTCTTATTAGTAGCTGCTCATAGTATAATAGAGACACGCAACCATGCACATTGAAATGGAAGAGAATTTTCTACTGAATCAGAAACTGCATAGCTTTCGAAAGCGTACAATGCATTGCTGAGATCGTAGCATCTAACTGAACTCTGAGATGATGGTGAGTAGTACCTCTGAACTGGGGAAACTGCGGTGGCTGGTTGTGGTGTGTGTTTAGATTGGTTTCGGTTTTCACAATACAGCGCGGCTGAGCGTGGGGAATCGATTTTTCCTCTGTGTCGGCAGCACTTGTACAGTGGAGTGCTGACATTGTGTTGAAGATCAGGAATGAGGGGGATTTTCCACGGATTTTTCGGGTGAGTTTGACGGTTGACAGTGTTTTTCATTAGGGAACACTCCCGGGTTATAGAGATGCCCTGTGAAAATGCCATCCGAGATCGCTTGGGCGGTTGGCCGCCTATAGGCGAAAGATACATAATACATGCATGCCTACATACTACATACATACATAACATACATACAACAATTAATACATACATACATACAGTACATGACGATGCATGCATGCATGGCATGCATGCAAATACATACATAACAGTACTAAGACAACATACATCAACATAGCATACCACACACACACACACACACACACACACACACACACACACACACACACACACACACACACACACCATTCGTTTGCAATCGCTCCTCGAGTTTGAGCATTGTTCTAGTCGCGACTGATCATTTCCCGTGCAACATCCTACAAGCTAACCATGATGCAGGTCTAGAACCAAACTTCGTGTTTACGCTACGTTATGTGTTTCCAGGTAATCCTGTACCGATTCAACTCTTTCATCTGCGGTGGCAGTCTGATCACTAACAGACATGTACTGACTGCCGCTCACTGTGTTCATCCGTAAGTGCGTCGAGACATCGTTACCAACAAGCTTTCGTCGCAGTAAACGTTAGTTCGTACACCAGCTGTAGAATTACCATATAAAATGCGTTAAATATTCAAAAGCATGTTGGACCGTGGCTTTCCATAATAATTATAAGGAGAGACGTAAATTTTCTGACCGGTTTCGTAAACTGTTCTATACACCTGTATAGGAAAATTATGTGGTGTGCGTGCACGCACGTGCGGGTGAGCCTACCTATACTTATACCTATACTATGCTTGCGTGTGTACGCGTATGTATATGAGTATGTGCGTACGTGTGTTCGTGCGTATGAGTTCGTGTACGCACGTAGGCCTACGTTCGTGCGTAAGAGCAGTCGAATGAGCGCATGCAACTTGTCGTCATATAGTCATAATATGAAAATCGTGAAAAAATACTATAGATGAATTAACCTCACGACTTATTTCCATCTTCATTGGTTTACAGATACCAGCATAACCTGGGAGTATTCTCCATTCGCATGGGAACAGTGAACCGGAACAGCGGCGGAATAACGAGATTCGTAAGTAAACGTGCTACTTGCGTAGATGCGTGCGCGTGACTGTCTGTAGGTGTAGAATACGCATGCTTGCAATCGACCGGGCGGGTGTACGTACGCGCGTGGGGTCGGGCGGGTGTACGTACGCGCGTCCGTGTTTGTGTACAGATGTCTAGAGGAATATTGAAGCGAACTATCTTTTACTCTAGGCAAATCGAATTCGGAGGCACGAGAAATACATCTCCAGCGACCACTGCTATGACGTTGCGGTCATCGAGCTTAATGAGCCAGTGAGGTTCACCAACAACGTTCAGCCCATCGCCTTGGCTAGCAACGATTCCGAGAAGAACGTGGACTGGCCGTCTACTGCATCTGGATTCGGTGACACAAATTATAGTAAGTTTAGATTTGCTCTCTCTTGCGCGTGCGTACTCTCATCCTACTTCATTCCCTCTCTTCTCCCCACTCTTCTCTATCTCTCTCTATCTCTCTCTCTCTTTCTTTCTCTCTCTCTCTCTCTCTCTCTCTCTCTCTCTTTCTCTCTCCCTCTCCCTCTCTCTTTCACTCTTGCGCATGTCTTCCTTTACCCTATGTCATCGTCTTTGACCTGAGTTCTGCCTTTCTGCAGTAGCTCCCTAATGGTGTATTTTCTGTCCATTGCGTGTAACCAAAATGAACATGTCAACACCTGAATGTTAATTTTTACGGCAAGTATCAATCACAGTTGAGAACGAAACAGAATTGCACAGAAAAGCTTATTTTTATCTTCTGTGGAATAGCGCATTAATCCCCTAACACTCGGATCTATAATCAGCATTAATGCTGAACCACCAGAGTATTTGAATCTATTGCTATCATTACCCTCATTGAATCTAGAAGGCCGATACATCATGATACTACAGACAGTTGGGGACTCACCGTCCAGCGCCGTGACCCGTTTCACTACTCGACGCTGACACACTACACGTGTCTTCACTGCACTAAGAATCTTAAGTTGTACAGCCGTGGCTGCGACGGCATCAAGGATACCATCGGAAGTAGTAGGTGGCGGCGGGGCGGATACTACGGCAGGATAGCCGGGAACCCCGTTCGGCAGGTACTCTTTCGAAAATGCCCTCCCACGGAACTGACTTCGCACGGCAAGGTTAGGACTCGACCGTTCTGGATCACTCACACAAGTGGGCCGCCGCTGTCACCCCCTACTCTGCAACTGAGACGTCAAGGAACAAGTTGAACGTCACGTGTAGAATGAGTACTCTGGTGAGTTTTCTCTCCCTGCGTCCGTGGCTTGCATCGGTCCACCTACTCCGCGACGGAACCACAATTAATTACAGTGTTGTTGTGAATTCCATCACGCATATATGTCATGAAAAGCCTGGTTTCATCGGCCTCTTCTCATTTCATAGGCTGGAGGGTCGAGAGAAGATGTATCCATCCCAACTCGACTGTCACTTCAGACTTCACACCTTCTCCTCGCGGCTCGGGTCCTCTGAGACATCGCATCACGTCCAGTCACCAGAATGGTATCACTGTAACATGCGCGATGTTGTCTGCGCTCGTCTCCCT